GAGAGAGAGAGAGGTGCGTAGGCGAAGGGGGCACGCGATTGAAAGGGATCTCCACGTGGAAACCGCGTAAAGGATACCATTGAGATACACTCTGTGTGATATACGACACAAAGCGTAGCGAGCTGTCCGAGGTATCGATCGGCATCGGCGCGAGCATCGTGGCGGCGACAGCGGCGTCGCGACGCGAGAAAGAATCGCACGAGAGTCCGTTGCATTTACGAGTGTTTCTTCCCGAACGAGGAGGGAAACGAAAAAAAAAAGGGCGCGTGGGGAGGGGAGAGGGGAAGAAAGAGGGGCGGCGAAGGGTAATTTTTTCGTCCGTAATCCACAGACGATGCATAATATCTCTCCAGGGGCAAAGGAAACATTCCATTAAGGAAATGAGCCGGGCGTCACGTTAAATTACGTTTGTTTCGTGCCGCGGAACGACGCCTCCTCCACATCTCTGGATCCACTCCATCTCTACCATTTCCCCCCCCCCCTCCTCTCCCTCTCGCTCGCTTCTCTCCTTTGCTCCTTTCTCTTCCCCCTTCTATCCTCCTGCGCGAGTACGCCATTGCGGCGACCGTAATTTGGCCTGGAAGGTCGTATTTTTAATTAATGTTTCTTCCGAACGGACTGGCATGATCAGCGAATCGTCGTTTCATATTTCAAGAGAATAAAGAATAATGGTCCGCTGTTTATTCTCGTCATTACGACAAACGATGACAATCCGTATCTACATACATACATACATATGTATATATAGCAGACGGAAACTCCATACTTCATTACTGACGATATTTGTTGGAATACACGCGTACACGAAAGACAGCGCCGGTATCCGATTTCATATTATATCCATTATCTGTGCGCGAATACAGTTCTGACATTTCAAGTAGAATTTAGAGGGGCGCTGCAATCAGATCTCGCTGCGCCGCATTTCAAGGGAAATTTTACCTCTCGTGCGGCTACGAAATTTTGAAGATCGATGCGGCATGCGGAAGGCGGCAAGACCGCGGCGAGGACAGGGCAATGAAGGGCTATTACGTGTCATTATAATAGGCAGTGCAAACATGATAGGAGACATAAGGCGCGTGTTCGCCTCACTTAATGCAGCACTTGTCATTATCGCGCACTGACTGCTCATTATATCGTAATAAGCACCCAATATGCCCGCGTGTCTGCCTACGTGTTTACGCGGAAACGGGTCGCGAACTAATACGAACCCATTCGACGTAATTACGCTACCTGTTACGCGAAACTCGTAGCCCGGGATCAAGATCACGTCGTGATCGTGGGAACAAACTTCGATTCGGCTAATCGTGGAAGATGAGATTCGACGTCGATAATATCATGAGGATTACGTTCAGCGAGCGGGACAAATAATTGGAACCTTTATTAATATCTGAAATTATGAATATAGAATATCCAAATAATTCTTTTAGTAGCATTTAATTTTCTGAAAAAATGAAAAATCGACTAATACGTTTAATACATTTTTTTCACCTTATTTTGTAATTAATCAAGAAAAGATAAATAAAAAGAAAAGATAGATAAATAAAAATTAAAATTTAAATATTTTATTTATTACTTACGATCTTATTATTATTCACGATGAATTGAAGTTTAGGTTTTTTAAATTTAAAATCGATTATGGATTAAATGTTTTTTATTAAAATATATCGCATTTTGATTGAAAAGTCTTTACATTGTCGCATTAGGAAATATTATCCATCATGTTTCATTTATATGGCTCGGCTAAATATTTAGTGAATGAACGCATCGCCCAAAACCAGGTTTAATCTTTGTGTTTTGAATTATTCCCATATTGATGGCTGAACTACGCAGAATTATTTTACACAGATATCGCATGAAAAGTTGAAAAAAAAATTTTAATAAAATCTATGAAAAAGCTCGACGATTAGTCGAATCGCAACGATATTGCGAGAACAGATATCGTTTTGAGAATCGATATCGTTTTATTAAAAATAAAGCTTCGTATTTTGCATACGAAAAATTTCAACAGAATGCCGCGCAAAAAAAGAAGAAGAAAAGCTTTTAAACGACGTAAACGGAATCTCGCGATCTTCGTCCTCAATATTTTATCCGCGTTGATTGTATCTCTCGAATAAGAGGGGGTGTGTTTGCGATAACGAGACGTTTCGCATTGCGCGAAATACCTACCTGTTCTCCTCTCGAAACTATTCATATTCATGAAAGTCATTAAACGCGATTTCCGAAGGCAGCCGAGTCGACGAGGATGAAGATCGCGCCGGTGGACTTTTCTCAGCGAGATTAGATCAACGGAACAAATATTTGAGAGCTCTCTTTGTGGTGAAACTCTGTCTTTCCTCCATGTGCCCCTCGATATCCACTCGTCCGCAGAGCGAAATTTCGCCGTCCAAGTTTTCAAGCCTTTAACATCGATTCGGTGGGAGTGGCCCGATTCTCGGCGCTGCCCGAGAATAAATCCGCGCCGCATTTGCGAATGCTTCATGAATGCTTCAAGAGAGTGACTTTGTCGTTTATCTAATGTCCCTCGAATGAATAGTCGTCTTGTGTGATTGATAATGAAGCCACACGTACCGATAGCTCCATATTTATATAACATCTATAAAGGGAATTTAATTAATCCTTTTAATTCCTTTAATTCTTTTAATTATTCACCGATCCGTTATATACCGATGATATATGTGTATGTGTAACATTTGACGAGGGTCAAGTAGGATTTATCTGACATTCTAGCGGCATCGAATATCGGATTTCAGAGCTTAACGATTCAATCGCAACCAACAGACATTTAGAAATCCGCGGTGAGCGCATGTTGTTGTCAGGCTCGATAGCCTAATTAATGCAATCTGCAGACGAGCCGGTTTGCGTGTGTAGCTTGTTTGGCGCTGTCGCGATACGTAAACTCGCGGCAAAGTCGTCGCCCACCGGGACACCGTCGCTTTCAATACAGGTTTCGACGCTGTCAAATCGCTGTCAAATTGTAATTCAATCCCAAGTTCAGAATATCGCTTACCGTCCCCCTCTCTCTCTCTCTCTCTCTCAAACATCGGGGCAGCTCGTAAGTATCGAGGAGTCGTCAAAGTGATGATATATGCCCGTTGCGACGGCGATTTCGAAAATCAAACGTTGCGACGTGTTGCAACCGATGCGATCGAACGTAATTGTGAATGAAGCCATCGCAATTAGCCGAGACCGATCAGAAGCACATAAATTTCGCGTGTAACGTGTAACGGACCAACTAAACCTTCGAATGGGATACGCTCCAAAGTGCAAACTGACCGATCTGCCCGATGTGAATTCGGTAATGCCGACAATGGCCCGTACAATTACGCCGAAATTACGCGGTGTTTGCGCCGGCCGGTGTGCCGCCAGTTAATTCCTTGAGCTAATTCGATCGATGTTGACTTGTTGTTCCAGCTGGATAGGTTCAAAGAGCCGCCGGCGTTCGGGCCGATGTGCGATCTCCTCTGGTCGGATCCTCTTGAGGACTTTGGCAACGAGAAGAACGCGGAGCATTTCTCCCACAATAGCGTCAGGGGTTGTTCGTACTTTTACAGGTGAGTGTACTCTTTCCAAGTTTTCATTGACATGTTAATTCGGTTAATAGAAATTCTGCTGTAAAACCGATCTAGGTGTGCGGTATCTTTCTATTTTTTAAATATTACGTGCAGATTGCTGATTTTATTCTACGATCGAATCGCAATTTTAGAAAGTCAAAAAAGGAACCGTAGGAACCTAATTAATATTAGAGATTGAGCAGTAATGAAATTCGATTAACTTTGTCAAACACTAATTTAGAAATTTTATAAAGTAAAGCTTATTAAGCGCGATTTTGAGTCGATTTTTTTAAGGACAATATCGAAAGAGGTCGATCTTTACCGCAAGTTTCCAATTTTCAGCATTAAATATCTTCATAATTGAGTCTCAAATTTGATCGAAATAAAATCTGTTTGAAATTAATTGAACGATACAGTTTCTATTATCTGATTTTTTTCTATTTAGCTTAATTTTTACAGGACTTTACTTTTTATAACTTTTATAAAGCTATCAATGCTTGAACTAACTAAAAAATTAACAAAAGAAATTAGAGAATTTAAGAATTTACACAATAGCTTTCTCTTTCCGCGAATCCTTTATTTATCAATTACAACATACTTGCTTGAGTTAAAAGTTACAATATTTTATTAAGTTATATTACCGATATAAAGGATATTGAAAAAAAAAAAGAGATCACATGATTGGAAATATCAGGAAATGCAATTACAATACTTTTCGTTGGTGTCGCCGATATATCGGTGGGACACGTCGATACCACAGCGTTAACGTAATAATAAAGGACGTATTAGCGGAGAAAAGGAAAAACGAGGTCAACACCCCATGCGCCGTCCGGCGATGGCTGGAGTTCTTTTTGCCGCGGAAATACGATATGCTTGTGTGCGATACATCTCGCGGCTGTCGTCGGCCGGTCCTCGGTTTTTTTTTTCCCTTACCAAGCCGACCCGTTAACTCCCTTCAACGGGAGTAATTATCTCGCCGTCTCTGTTTGCGAGCAGCGCAGCCGGAAGCGCGTTGGGCGCATCCCTCGCGCGATCACACAGCGTGAAACGAGGTAACTTCGGCACACACACACACACACACACACACACACACACATCCCCTTCCCCTTTCCCCCTCGGCCTTTCCAAATCCTGAGAGAGATCTTCCTTCCGCCGAATCTTCCTATGTACGTCACGTTCGGTCCCTCGTCGCATCGCCCTTCGTCAGCGTCACGCGGACACGCCCGCGGTTTGCCCCGCGCGAGGATTAATAACGGCCGTGTTATACGACAGCGTTCGCAAACCGCAGACACGACAGCTCCTCTCGCGGATACGCTAATTATACGAACGGCCGTGCTAATGAGCACCGAGATTCGTTAAGTGTCAGCCGTCTCTCGCGCGCCCGTCCACAACATTTCCCGTCCCGTGTTCGTTCGCGTGTACCGTGTTTGACGAGGCAAACTTGAAAAATTAAATTCCCGAATGCGATTTAATTATCTTTTCGCGATCAATTTCCATCGACAAATCGTATATTCCCTATTAGGCCTTTTTAATATTAACGCAGCGTGTTATACCAGAGCCATAGATATCGGCGTTGCGCGAGCCGCGGCGGGAACGTTGGAAAGGTGATTTATTGAGGCGATTTTCATAATCAAGCTGTTCATTGATATATATGTGAATGTGGCACGGGCGATCGCGATCGCGATAAGATAATGGCCAGTCGTTATGAAGACGTTCCAGATAACGCCGGTCCGTTAATCCCTCATTTTCGATTCCCACATTATCGTGTCTCGGTCGGGGGGGATAGGTACGTGCATTAAGTTCCACGCGAACATAAATCACATCTCGCGTCTCGAGCGATATGCAAGTAGCCCGGCTGTAATCGCCGTCGGTCGTCCGACTACACCGCGACTCGTACCACTTACTCCCGAACGTAATGAAGCTTCTGATTATCCTCACTCCTTCCCTCTAATGACCCGAAGTGGCTGTACGCTCTTAAAACCAGAAAAGCAAATGTGCCTCGCGCGTCGCAATAATGTCCCAAAGTTAAATAAATCATCTTATCATCGTACCGAAATGTGTGTGCGTATCGAAGTTAAGATTCAACGATCCGGAGATCGATACCGACCACATTGGCGAACGGCGTGGTTTTCGAGAGATTTCACCTCGTCATTAATCTCTGTCGGCGCTATGAACGAGTCTTAATGGCCACTAACGACCATGCCGCGACATGGCGCAAACATTTCTCATGATTCTTGGCCGGGTCAGTTATGGTAAGGAAAAGAGTCATCCTGTTGACGTCCTCGGCGGCTTAATGTGTTTACGCAAACATAAATGCCAATATATCATCGTTCGATGTCCGATTCACCGCGATAGTCATTGAAAAAAAAAAAAAACCTACACATTGTACTAAAAACTTAAAGTTATATAATTCGCATTAACGGCAAAAATCCGAACAATCTAAAGTCGAAGCTTTAAGCACATCTTGGAAATAGAAATTGACTCGACTTCAGTATTTAGAAGTGCTCCAACAATCCTGTATAAATTCACAGAATCGCAATAGAAAAAGTTGTACCAGTCATTCTTGACAAGTTAAGATTGATCGTTTGGCGCTCGCGCAATTGTTTTTGACGTGTGTGCCAAGAAACCGCGTTACGACGTTAATTCAGGTCACGATTTTAAGATGTACAAATTTTCCAGTATAAATATTCGCGTTGGAAGCTGCCTGGCGAACGCTTTTGAAACTTGTACACTTCGCACGAATTTTGCTGCGGAATTTATCGAGAAAATTCTCTTCTCGGTAGTTCTAACTAGATTAAAATTTTTAAGCTCGAGTCGATTTACTTAACCACGGCAGTTTCCATGTTATTTATCAGTGCTAAATAAATTTAATAATATGAGCGTATGTTCGAGCAATTATCGATAATTATCGACAATCAAGGGTTTCCCAATCTTGAACAGTCGATAACGCTTGCTTGCAGTTACTCGGCGTGTTGCGACTTCCTGCAAAACAACAATTTGCTCAGCATCATAAGGGCGCACGAGGCTCAAGACGCCGGATATCGCATGTACCGAAAATCTCAAACGACGGGCTTCCCGTCGCTTATCACCATCTTCAGCGCGCCGAACTATCTCGACGTGTACAATAACAAGGTAAAAATACCTCTTTTCCTTGCGCGAATCGCGCATCGCGTTTGCCGCAGCGACCATAAACTTCGACGTTAATTTAACTGTCACATTTATGGTCAGCTCGGAGGATCGTTCGTTTTATGACCTGTGGATCGCCGGCCTGCGATCATAAAATTCCGATATGTTCGTTGTGTCCATAGGCGGCGGTTTTGAAGTACGAGAACAACGTTATGAACATCAGGCAGTTCAATTGTTCGCCACACCCGTACTGGTTGCCCAATTTCATGGACGTTTTCACATGGTCCCTACCATTTGTTGGCGAGAAAGGTAAGTCCTGCTAGACCGACAAGTCTCATTTGTTTCTGTCAAAAACTATTACATTTCCACGCGATGCATCTTCTTTAGTAACGAACGCTAATGGATAAAAATCCGCGAAAGGTTTTTTTTTTTTAAAGAAGAGAAAAATGTGAGAAAAATTCCAATGTATAATAATTTAGACTTGATTTTTTACACAAGATATTACGAGATGGATAAATATTAATTTGTGATGACGGATGTGTGCTTTGCTCGGAAATTAACGAGCGAATTTTCGCTTTACCTTTCAGTCACCGAAATGTTGGTGAACGTGTTGAACATATGCTCGGACGACGAGCTGATGAGCGACGGTGATGACGCGCTCGAGGAAGGTAATGTCCACCATTCAGCTCTCATATCCCACCTTAATCTGTGCACACTATTATTTTACAGACGTTTCGAACATGATCGGCACTCAGACTGGTCGCTCTTATATCGTGATCAGAGTATCTGTCTTCTTTTACCCTTTCATTACGAGATTATTTTTGTCTTGAATTTTTTCCTTGTCTAATATGAAAATTGTGCAAAAAGACAGAAAACGAGAACCGCAGAGTTTCGTCACGTTGAGTACGCAATAAAAAAAACCGTTCTCATCTCAGCCGTCCCGCGAGGATTGGAAAAGCAAATTCGTTTTATTTAGAGCTCCGAGTGTGTGCAATCGCGTGAAAACGATCACTTCGGAAGAAGGGTAGTTGTTGCCGCAGCTTGTTCGACCTGTGGGGTTTAAGTCTCGATTATATCTCGCCTTCGGTAAATTCATTCCGGGTTCGGGTTGCCACTCTGATGACGGCGAGAGATGAGACACGGTTTCAATTTTATCCGTCACCTCGAGGACGGCCGGACGGACGAGCGTGAGATAAGACGGGCGGGGATTCCCCGCTAATATCTGGAATCTCTTTACAAGCTCCGACACGATCTAAGAGAGGCCATGTCATTTTCGTGCACCGGGGAGAATGCGCGGATTCATCCCTCGCGTCCTGCCACGTGCCGGCTTGATAGAAAAGAGCCGGAAACGATCTAACGATGAAAAATGAATCGGGATCCTTCGCCCTCGTTTTGCGAATCGTTGCATTCTCCGCCGAAAAAGGAAGATCGATCGTGCACGTGTGCCCCGGATTGGATAATCGGCGAGCCCGAAATTTCACTGCGAGGAAACTGCGCGACTGGAGTTTCATTTTCATCACCGCGATGAAAGTTGAATTCGCGTCGAATATGCCGTTATTTTCAATTTTTCATCTAATCGTTTTTAATTTGACACGGGATTTGGCACGGGAGCGGAAATCTTTTCTCTGTTCTTCTTTTTTACGTTCGCCACGTGCCAAATTTTCGCCTGTACGATCGATCCACCGGTCAATTTCCATCGCAATTTCTTCGATCGATTCGACCGATTCGATGGCACCTGTGAATTCTATGTATTCTCGTACAATTCTACATATCCCTCCGATTCACATGACATGATGCTCGCGTACCTTATCTTAAATTTCACCTTCTCGTGCGAAAGTTAAGAAGAAATTACGCGCGATCTCCTTCGTCGCGCCGAAAGAAAAGTAGTCAATCTGAAAAAAAAAATGTCTCTATCACCCCGCCTTCCCCCCCCTGCCACGATTTCACTCTTGTAACTTCCAGAGACAAATCTTGAATTCTCTTTCTGTTTGCATTTTCACTCGCTGCACGGACAGATGGTAAGAAACGCCGCTCGATTCTTCTAGACGTCACACGATTAAGAGCTTCATTGATTATCATTAATTTTTTAGCTATTTCATAGTAGTGTCTCAATGTCGAGTTTCTCTTTCTCTCTGTTTCTCTTTCTATCTCTCTCTTTCTCTTCCTCCATCTTTTTCTTTCTTTATTGCGTCGTCTTTTTCTTTTCCCTTTCCGTCCGCGACGTATTTCTCGGGAGGAGAAGAACGTACGTAGAAAGTATGTCGCGTCTATCGTTTCTTCTCTTTTCTTCTTTATCTTTCGTTCTGTGTGATATCCACGCGCATAATATATTATGTGTGTGTACATATATATATAAATATATATTTATCATTTTTCTATATTTTTTTCTCTCTTTACCTTTGACCATCTATTTCATGGTACTTACAATTTCTTGCATCGAGGTACGAGATTTTTTTTGGTTTTCTCTTCTTTTTTCTATCTCTCTTTTCTCTCTCTCTCTCTCTCTCTCTCTCTCTCCGTATCTGCTCCGTATCTGTTCTTCTTGGCATTTTTATTTTCACTTCCCGATTACGTATATGTGTGTAATACATATTCGACGTGTCTCGACGGCACAAAGCCTGGGTCTTTACATCTTCACCGGTAGATCTTGATTTTCTGCATCATTATACTCATAGCATCTTCACCCTGTCTCCATACGTTTGTTCAAGATGGCATGATCCCTTTGCCTGTATCTCAAAGCACGTAATAAGTACTTCGTGACGACCTTGAGCTTTATCAATTCAAAAGACTTTTCTCGACTCGAAATTAACCGGGCGAAGACATCATTTGCCATCTTGCGCATCACGCATCAATTTAATTCACGCATGCATCGCAGCAAATCGGGTAAGACGACGCCCAAATTCGGCCTTGTCTTAATTATTTTTCGATGTGTATCCGGGAATATCTCCAGATTTCATTTGTCATTTCGTTTTCTCCGATCAACTCTACCACTCTGTCCGAATTCCATAGTCAATTTCAATCTCTCTCTCACGTGTGTCACATCCATCCCGCCCCGACTGGCGTATATATTCTGTTACTTTCTTTTTCTTTCTCGTACATTTCACACATGCGTATGTATAATTCTCTGCCCTTTGTCCCTACGTTCTAAAAGAATAATTAAGACCTCTTGCGGAAATCGGCGGATGGAGCTTTGCGACCGGTGATGCTGTCACAAAAATGTTTCTGTATTTTTTTTTTTTTTTTCTTCTTTTTTTCGTCGCGATCTATTGATCGAATTTTTCAACTAAATCAAACGTCGTCAACGAATCATGTTTCCAAGACGTACTATTTTTTTTTTTTTTTATTATATCCACGATATCGACCTACGTTGGCTGGCTATCGGCAGCCAAATCAATTTCACATTCGTTCGCGTGTGCCCGAGAAAGAGACAGGGGCTAATTCGTTTCCGCAATTCGCGGCACGTCAGAAGGTCAGATCGATACATGGACGACCACCGGATCTAACAAGTATCCATCCGCCGGATTGGATCCAAGCTCCGAAAGAAAGTCGAGCAGCCCCCTCACCGCCCCCGCATCGATGCCGTTTCGTAGAGAACGCATTCATGAGAACGTTTCCCGGTTGTTGCGGCTAAGTCGCAACTGATCGAAAAAAAGAGTTCAAGTAGAGAGTCCTGGTGGATCAATAAAGACACCCTCGCCCCCGAACCCCTCCACTTCCCTCTCCCCTCTGCTTTCGCCTCTTTTAATTATCGCGAGAGAAACACGCGCCGCCCACAACCCCTCGCCCCCCCCGATCAACCCCCTTCGCTCTTGCCCTCCCCCTCTCGCCCCCTCTGCCCCCGAAGTTGCACTGACTGTCTTTTATATCGTACTCCTTCTCTATTATATTTGTATCAATCACACTGGCCTTGGACTCCTCCTATCTCGGCACGACACTATGCTACTACTACCTCTACTACTTCTACTACTACTTCTACTACTACCACTCAAAACTCCGATCGTTCGGCATACCGCAACCCCCGTAAAGTCGCAGCCAAAGTCGTTGTCCAAAAAAAGAATGGTAAGTCCCCGTGAGAGCCGACGACTTACTTGAAGAGCCAAGATTTTTTTCTTCTTTTTCGTGCGTGCCAAGAGTAACCCAACGAGAGTTTTCTTCCCCTCTTTCTTTTTCTCCCCCTCCCTCTTTTTTTCTTTTCTGTATTACGGTGTATTTGTGATACAGTGTATGATCTTGACTCCTTTTGTTTTTTTGATTTTTTTTTGTTTTTGTTTTTTTTTTGTTTCCTCTTCGCCAAAGTGTTCTCTCCTGCGTTTCGGTTCCTTTCCGTTCTTTTTTTTTTTGTCTTCCTTTTCATTGCGCGGGTGCGCTTCGTGACGCCTTCTGCCGGATCAAGCATATTTCTTGTGCCGCAAATGCGGTTTTCGAGCTGAAATGCGACACTTTCAAGCGTAAGAAAGCGTGTAGAAAAATATTGCAATTTCTTACCAGCATGTAATAATAACGCGGAAATATATTTCGACTTTTTTAACGTGTATTTTCATTATTAACGATAACGACATAATAATTTTATAATCAATTTTAATATCTTTCACGTGGAATTAATATACAATTTCCCGCTGTGCAATTTTCGAGTTAATCTTTACATCTATGATCGATAATGACAGATAAAGCATAAGAAGTAATATTATTAATTTAACAACAATCATCTGGGTCGAAAATTTCAATTATTTCTTTCCATTAATGAAAAAACGCGGGAATACTTTTATTTCAGCTAAATGCGCCTCGATGAGGAACTAGAGCTCGAGACAACCAGTAGAATGACGTCGAGACGAAACGAACGTTCCGCACGAAATATTATTTTCTCGTTTATTGAGTTCATTTTTCTCTTCGTTCCTGTATATATATATATACACATATATCTCTATCTATTTATATATACTTACATATTTCTATCTATCTTCATCTTCTACTTCCTTTAAACGTGCTGCATAACTGTCCTCGGACTTTGGATTAAGCTAACATTTATAATCGCCCATTAATTATCGGAGAACACGCCGTTAAACGCCGTTTTCACTTCCGTTTCCTTCCGTTTTGACACTGTTGATTCTGTTGTATTACACATCGCCGCCTTTGTATCATACATATTCTCCTTGTCTACTTACGTGCTGAATTAATCGTCACGATAATCTCACCTTCCGCCTATCTCTTTGTCTGTCTTTCTCTTTCTCTCTTTCTCCGTCGTTTTGTTTTGTATCTACGTTTTGCGTTATCTCGTTAAGCCTTCTCTCTACTTGCTTCTTGCGCTTCTCGTCAATGATCAAGCACACCACTCAAATTTATTCGATAATAACGCATCCAATCTGTTCCCTAATTCGAAGCCACGTTTCGAAACGAATGCAAATTTGTTGTCGTCGTCGCGATAAAATAAGTGGTAAAGAACGAAATGGGGATGTTTTCCGAAGTAAAGTAAAAGATGCCGCAAGGCAAGAGACGAATCTCTCTTTCCCGAGATTTCGCGAACGCTTTCTTCTCGGCACCTTACCGTGTTTCCGTGAATCCAAAATAACGTGACGCAAATGCGCGCGATGGGAAATACGATCGCTCTTCTATACGGTTCCACGACTCGCAAGACCCGTCGCCTATAATAACAGCAGATTCACAGCAGTAAATTTATGCTCGTCTCGAGAAGAGCTTCATAAAGCTCAGCGGATTAGTCGAGAAAGTTCGGTGAATATATATATATATATATAT